GCATTGCTGAGGGCGGCCGCACAGGACTTACAGCTATGGTCACTGGACTTTGTTTCCTGGTGTCGATATTCTTTGCCCCTATCTTTGCCTCAATTCCCCCCTGGGCTACCGGCTGTACCCTTGTGCTTGTTGGCTGCATGATGATTAGGCAAATCAGTCAGATCAACTGGCGATACATGGGAGACGTTCTTCCGTCTTTTGTCGTCATGACCTTTATTCCGTTTTCCTACAGTGTCGCGTATGGTCTCATAGCGTATGTGTGATTCCTTCGTTCCTCGCTCATGAACTGACATCTTTACTCTAGGGGCGTTTTCGTCTATGCGGTACTCAACGGCCTCATCGCACTGACCGTCTATATCAGCGGACGACGCCTGGAGCCTCGTGACTACGACTCGAAGGAGTATTGGTCTTGGAAGGGTTATGGTATGGGAAAACCGCCCTGGTTCGTCCGGGCCGTCCGCAGCAAAGGCTGCATTGCAGGCTCTGACGACGCCCCCGATGAGATCGATGAAGTCAGCAAACGGTCCACCATACAAGAACACGAAAGTGCCTACGACGACAATCGTGAGGGCGCGGCCTCCCCCCATCGGGCTGTCACCCCTCGCTCAATGCACTGAGAGAACGTTAGCAGGAAGTCTGTTGCGGGCACCAAGTTGGGACGAGACGGTCACAGTGACCTTGAGATGCAAGCTGAAAGCTACAAGAATGGGCCAATGGACGCCATAGGTTGACCAGGAACTATTCGGCTTGTGTGATGATTCGGAGTTTGTATTTTTGGGAGCTCAAAACAGCCCTTGCGAGAGACTCAAAACCTTGTAGATAGACATCTGGTGGCGGTCTGTTGCACGCAATAGCTAGAGCATCTCAAAGTAATGTTGTCAACGAACATTGTCACCATGGTGCATTCAAAGTATTTACGTGAGAACCCCTATTCCGGTTCTAAACCTCTAGGAAAGCTGACTGCATGCTCATAGCTGGTTGATGTCGGACTGCTAGGTCCAACAACAGGACTGATGAGTTTTCTGTCTGCGGTATACAGCGGGCGACGTCAGGGGACTCGAGCGGATAGTCGAGACGAAATGCCGACGGGAACTCATCATCGACTAATTATCTACATTTAATATTCAGGCATGAGCTAAGACAGCGCTTGGGAAGCCCACAAAATGAGGTGAAAGGACGGTACGGAAGTGACGCAATCGATGAAAATTGGGCACTTCTAGCCCACCGTACTTGCTCGAATTCCTAGACCCACCAGAGCTTCTGTCTGGCGCGACATGTGCCTGGACGGTGGATCGCCCGTTTCCAACCTCAATCGCGGACGAATTGCTTTCTCCAAGTCCATACAACGTTCTTTCTTGCAGCAAGAAAAGCTGATTTCAACAGCGCGGCTTTTCCAGGAAGCAGTAGCGAGGATATCTGCGATAATCATCTCGACAACATTACGAACCTAGGTCATTTCCTTCCCAGCCTACGACACGATGAGTGGCGGGTGGAACACGAGTATGCCACAGCCGATCGCCTTTCTCCTCCAATATTTCGCTGACATAATACCTCTTCGCAGTCGAGTCGGACGCCGGCGTCTTCACGTATCTCCTCGAGAACCTCGGTGTCAAAGGGGTCCAGTTCGAGGAGCTTCTTACTCTCTCACCTGACGACCTTGCTCCGCTTCAGCCTGTCTATGGCATCATCTTCCTTTTCCGCTACCCCTCCGAGGGCTTGCCTCCGCGACCTAAAGAGTCCTACGACGAGGACGCCGCCGAACGTCTATTTTTTGCGCGCCAGACCATTCAGAACGCCTGCGGCACCCAGGCCCTTCTGTCAGTGGTTATGAACAAGAACGATGAAGTCGATATCGGTGATCGCCTGGGCGAGTTCCGCGAATTCGCCATGGCCCTGCCACCCGAGTTCCGCGGAGAGGCCCTGAGCAACTCGGAGCTCATTCGGGAGGTCCACAACAGCTTCGCAAAGAGCAGCCCTTTCGTCGACGAGACGCAGAGGGGCGACGAGGGTGGCGAGGACGCGTTCCACTTTGTCGCCTACTCGTCTATTGGAGGCAAGCTGTACGAGCTTGACGGACTGCAGCCAGCACCCATCTCACATGGCGACTGCACTCCGGAAGAATTTCCCGTCAAGATATCAGGCATCCTAGCAGACCGCGTAGCCACATATGCGAGCAGTGAGATTCGATTCAACGTCCTGGCTATGGTCAGGGACCCGAGGATCGCTGCGGCAGAGATTGGAGATCAGGAGACGATTGCGCGCGAGTCCGAGAAGAGGCGGCAGTGGCAGTGGGAGAATGCCCTGCGCAGGCATAACTTCGTGGGCTTCGCCGGAGAGGTCATGAAGGGGGTTGTTGGCGAGAAGGTCAAGGCGGGTAATGGGGCCTACGAGGCGTGGATCAAGGAGGGCCTGGAGAGAAGGAAACGTGACGAAGACGCCACGAGGTTACGGAAGAGGATGGGCGGCGGAGATGGAGACGAGGAGATGATCGGGTAAACGCACTTCCTATTGCCTGCATAAGCCCTGTTGACCGTTAGAAGGAACTACACCTACGGTGTTATCGTGATGGTCCGCCTGGATATGTCTCGACTTTGAGCTATTATTTGAATTTCTGGGGAAAATCATGCTCGGAAGTCTAGTTAACGTTCTTGCCGAGTAAGGTCTAAAGCTTATTAGTTATGTAACGAAGATATTCCTCGTCGAGGAGGTTGGTATATAATTAGTATTCGCTTCGGAAGTCATTCCGGTTGCTAGCACTTAATGGATTGCCCAGGCTTAGAGATTCGCGATTATTCGTAAGCTATTTTCACGAGTATTATCCGAAAATAATACCACTTTATCATTGATCACGCCAAGAAAAGACCGAATGCCCTCGAATCACTCGATTCAAGGTACCTAGGTAGGTTCGCTGCCCATGACAGACGTGCTGTATGAGAATCGCTGGACAAGTACAAGGGGCATGTATCTCACGTCAATTGTCAATGCGCTCGAGCTCCATGATTTCCTCAGAGAAGCGGCAATTGAATAAGCGAAGTGCGCCATTTGAGAGCTGATGAATTCCAACGCTGGTGTCTCCACCAAACGACCAACACATCATCCACAATGTTTGGAACAGCGCTCAGAAGTACCATGTACGGGACATGGCTGGAATGGAACGAGGGATAGTGATGTTCTGGTGAGAGTCTAGGACCTTCCGACCTCGACCAACACGATGAGACAGCCAGCCGTGGGCTGGTGCCCGCAGCCATATGTGAGACTCGTTCGCAGCTGCATTGTGTCCATGCCGCCGCCCAGGTCGCCATGTGCCGTCTATCGTCCCGTGTCGCAAAACAGTCAGCCGTATACCGACATGTTCATCGTCGTGGGTCGCGGTGCCCACCAATGACCACAGTGAGAAATGCCAGCAACAACGTGCGATGAGCTGACCGGCGGTGAGATGCTGTCTTTGGTTGGGCAGTTGATCAAGCTCGCCTTGTTGTCGCAGAGAAAACAACAGAGGAATGAAGGCGGGCTGTATCTTCTCGCTTGAACACACGCGATCGCCCAACCTCCACACTCGAGATGCAGCAGGATTGGTGCATGTGCCAAGTGGCCTTGATGGCTCATTCCAAGTCTTGCCGTCTTCCCCTCCTTCCAACCCCGTCCTCTCTTGCTCAGTCGATCACCCACGCACACGCACAATCCTGGCCCGGCACTCCGACCCTCCGACCCCCCGTCTCACATGTGCCCATCATCACTACCTCCCGGATGGCCGCGAATACGGACTCGTCGCCATACGCCGAGCCACATGGTGGCAACGCCCTTCCACGCGTGTGGGTGTTCACAAGGCCCCCAAATGCCTCGAAGCGGCCTCCTGGTGCTGCGATTCTTACCAAAACACCATCAACAGGGTTGGGTAAGCTGAGACGGGGTGGCAGCCACTACCGATTGCCAAGACGGGCACCTGATCAGCAGATCAGCTTTTCTCCCGCAAACCCCGTCCAACTTGGCCCTTGATGGTATGGCGTACTACTCGAAAATGACGGCAGAGCCCAGTTGGGAACCCACCAGATCGTCCCAAATCAAGGTGCAGCAGCCGCTAATCGGACCCATCAACGAAGCAGCGCCGCCATTTGCGAGAGGATCTTCTCCAAGACACTCTAGACAAGCGCATCAGGCGTCTCCCATGCCGCCGTATCGTGCACTACCGCCCCGCCCGCTCAACGCGTGGTTGGAGGAGCATCGGGCAGTGAGAGGGGACGTACATGTTGAGGCTGTCGACACTGGGGAGCCTCGATGCAAGGTCGAGTGCCTTGCATGGTGCGTCCCAAAACCGCGCATGCCCACCACTGGCTTGCCGTCTTGCGTCTGGCATTGCGTCTCCTCTTGCGTGCATCTGTCGCGACATGTGTCTCCTCCCTTCTCAGCCGGGTCTTTCCTCTTGTCTCTCTGGCTCTCGCGTGTCGGTCAGTCACCGCACACAACTTGGCAAGTCAAGTGTGGACATCCTTGGTTGAAGCTTCAGCAAGGCGCTCAGCCCGGGGCGGGTGACCGCCTTTCCACTTTCACTTGTCATTCGAGTCTCTCGCCAGGCAAACCAGGCAGCCTATCGCTTCACCTTGCCCGGCGTGACTGAGCTCCCTCTGATGGAGGTGTGCCCAACCGCCTCAGAAATGGGTGTGCCGCATTTCACTTTTCATATCCTGATGACTCCGCCCTGACCCCCCCTCGTGTCTGAAGTTGGTCGGCATGTTGGATCTCACTTCTATAAGACTCCCACGCTCAGCTGCGCCCTCGTTTTCAGCTCCTCGGTTGGCTCACCCATTTCATCACGTCGTACAACCAGGCTGCACCAATCGTGTTCCCCTCCCACTCCCCCCTTTCGCATCACCCAGCTCGCTCTTGGAGCCGGTCACGCCGACCAAGGGTCCCCCCCCTTGATGTTCTGTTATCCTATTGGCGATATTCCTGCAGGCACTCACTTCCCCGGATCATATATCAAAGCTAGCCTCCCACGATCAATGTCCATCATCCCTTCTCGGTCACGCTCAACCTTCATCACCAATATGTCTTCACACTTTCAGGCCAAGTCACGGTGGGATGCCTGGCCACCGACCCAGGTGCGCCTCACGCCCTCTACCCCCAAGGACTACCCATCTCTGGACGATATAAACGAGGACCCTCTCAACTACTTTCTCACACCTCCCACCGACTTTGAGGACGCCAGCGGTGACATCGACATGTTTGACTTTGACGCCGGTATTGAGAGTCCGCACTCATCGCATGACATAGTCCGCAGCGTCAGCCCTTCCAGCCTCGAAGGCCTCAGCAAGCCGGGCTCCCCACCGGTTCTTGATCTCTCTGATCTGGCCACACCCGACACAGACGACGAAGAGGAGAGCTACATGCGCTTCGCGCCCCACCACTTTGGTCTCCCATCTACCCTGCGAGACTTCATGATGGACAGCAAGAGGTCCAAGCCAAGCCAAGCCTCGGACTCTCCCTCGTCGCCCCTTGATGCCCCGAGGGGACGCTCTCGTGGCTCGAGGCCAGTAGGCCGCGGCCGACAGCCCAGCTTTGCCACACGGCGCCGCTCACAGCAGGTCTGGCGTGAGCCCAGCCCCGACGTCTGGTCGATCGAGGAGGAGACAGAGGAGGCCATGAGCGAGCTCGGCAGCACCATAGTCGCGGGCATCGAGGCCGGAGAGGTGCTCGCTTCGGCGATGAAGAAGGACCGGACTCGGCCGGTAGATATACAGGCTGCAAAGCCGACGAAGAAGGTCAGGTTTGTCCTGCCTGCGGAGGAGATCTAATGGGAGAATGGACAGTACAAGAAGGCCTCACTTGGTATCTCATTTTCCTTCTTTGCATGTTGGGGGTCTCATTTCTTCCTTTGGCTTTATCTTCCTCTTTGACTAGTTTGCATGGACTTTGCGGGATGCATCACGGGCGTTCAGGTTGAGGGAGCATTTGCATACACCACTTCGATGGTTCCCGGAGGCAGGATGGATGCCTCGAGATTGGTCTATCATCACCTAGTGTCACGTACAGCGAGATGTGCCGGCATGCAGTATACACGGCGTTGGCATGCCAGCCAGAGCGATTCTGGAAATCACAACCACAGTTATCATACAACCTCTTGCTGCGTGTCCTTTTGTGAATCTGCCATGGCGAGGCTGCCTCCTCGTGCGAACAGCCTCGTTGCCTACGGCGAGGACGCCGACCGACTGCCTAACGTGACTCCTTCGGTTGCCTGCCAGGCAGAGGCGCTCACCCTGTTGGCCTGTTGCCCGTCAATCGGTATTACTCAGAGTTCGCCACCGGGAAGAGGGTGGCTCAGTGAGACAAGGCAGTCATTCCGCAAAGTGGAAATGCCATGGCCGTTATGGCCGTTTTGCGCCCCACGAGGCTCAGCAGGTTCTGTGAATTCCCATCTGATGGCATCGAGATCTGGTATCACGCCTGCAGGTCCCGATGTCTGAGAGTTCCAGGGATGCGGCCTGGCATAGGATGGGTGGTGACTTGACGTTTAGGGCTCGTGTGATCAGCCTCGTAGTTTCTGTTCCGAGGAACGAGACGAGCTGACCAAAACAGGGCACAGGGGCTTTTGGGGGCTGTCACGGGGTGCGGTAGAAGAAGGGCGGGGGGCGGGGGCGGAAGGTGAAGCAGGTGAGGTGTTCACCGAAGGGCCATAGCTTCGGTCAAGGTGAACACACGGCGAAATCTGAACACTGCGGGGCCGGTCACTGTGGAGTGACTGAGGCGAGTGATGAAGATCATGGGTTGCATTTTGGATCTGTTTATATAGCGAACCTACCGGATGCTGACGAACTGCTATAAGTCTCATACATGTACAAGCACATGTATAACGTGTGCTGCACCTCCGCCGTTGGCGACTCTGTTGCCTGCGTCATTATAGAGGTGTGACGTCCATGATGATGTGCACTTGGCTCAGCTCATCTGTCGAGCTGTTGTCAACGTTGAAAGGCGCATGCTTGGCTTTCAAGAGTCTTCTTCACGGATCCGGCCCCTTGGTATCTGCTGATTGCCATACAGGCGTGCCGAGCGATTGGAGCAGACAATTCAACTTGCATTGCTAGAAGCAACATTGGGCTAGAAGCAACATTGTACTCGAGACCACCAGTAAGAGCCATTTCTGAGCAAGGCACCCAAGTCATCGATACTCAACCAGCGGAGCGAAGCCTGCTCTTGGGTGCGCTTATATACTGCGATACTACCATGGACGCTGAAGCTACGTCCAGGTCGGTACAGCGCCCTCTGCTTGGTCTTGAGCGTTGCCGACGGCCTAGAAGCTTTATTTTCGGAAACCGCGTCAGCCCATGGTTTAGGCGAGCCAGCTTTGTCTCGTAGCGGGCGTGTGGTATTCTTCCCTGCCTTGACACAGTTGCGAAAGCATGCAGCATGTCAGACCCGACGGGTCCTGATGACTCGGACCTCGTAAACCGATTTCGAAGGCACGCGCGATTCAAGATTGCTGACACTGCCATCCAACGGCAGCTATGCGTTCAGGATGATTAGCAGGACTGGTTGACTGAGTGTTGGTGTCTGCTGGCATGCTGCTGGCGCGTCAGATCGAATGTAGCGCAATAAAACGATACGCCCATGTTGATGATGGAACAGAGCCGAGAGATAGTGAACTTGGACGAGCAAGACAACATCAGTATTGATCTCTCATCATTTCTGTTTTTGCTGTGATGGCTGTTACTGGTCCATCGCCTCGTGTCCACGCCAGACAAAGAAGAAGATAAAGTCACGGCCGATTGGGTCGGGCCCTCCAGATGCACCGAAGATCAAGGCATTGTTGGCCCACCTGGTGGACCTCCAGCGCCTGATTCGCCGTGGAACGACCCCTGTGCCTGCCATGGAGGGGCACTTTCGGGGGGCAGGTCCCCACCATAAGTCCAATGTTTACGCCGAAGCTCGGTTGTCGCTGCCTATTGGCTGGTGCCCCGGCGACGACGACATGACGACGCAGAACTGAGGCAGAGCCGGAGCAGGAGCAACAGGAGCTGGAGGGTAGCAGCAGCCTCGAGGGCAGGCGCAATGAAGCTGACCAGACTGTGAGGGACGCAATCTCATGCAAGTCAACCCACCAGCGAGCCTTCTTCCTTGGAAGGGTCTTGCACTTCCATTTGTCTCGTTCATGTAGCAAAAGCAATCGGCTTGCCTTGTCAGCCAAACCTGTCCGCGTCGCCCGGCCGATCTGACCTGGCATCCCTTCTTTTCTTCATTCCCCTCTCCCAAGACTGCTGCTTCTCATCCGTCATCCGGCGATTGCACAGGACCCCAGACCAACACCTATAGCTCCTGCAACTATCGCCCTGTGCGCCGCCCGTGGCACGCAAAGAACATCGTGCACTAGCCACTGCACGGCAGCATGCCGCTCAGATAACAATAGGTACGCCATCAGACGCATTCCGCCTCCCATTTCTCGGTCCTTTGTGTCCCCGGACGTTGCGACGCTGAAGGCCTTCTCCATTGTCCATCCGCGATGCAGTGTAAACGCACGAATGCGACTGACGTCAATGAACCCATCCAGACCATGTCTTCCACCCTTCCAGACGAGCAAGACTCGCCCGAGTCTACCTCGCCTGCTACCCCACGCAAGGCATCTCCTGCCGGGAACGACGATCATGATCCTGCCACGCCAAAGACTCCCGTCGCTGCTCGGGTGGCGGCGGCGACCCCTCGAAGCGCGCCCGCCGCCGCTCGCGCGCGTGCCCTGAGCAATAGGAAAACGATGCAGGAGCCACCAACCCTGCTCGCCGACTTTCTTCTCGGCCGTCCCTCTCCCCAGCGCAAAGCTGCTGAGCGCTCACGCCAGCGTCGCCAGAGCCTCGATGCCGTCAAGGCTGAGATGCGCCAGTCAAGTGTACGCAAACTCCAACAACCTGGCGGCGTTCGCGACCGGGTCAAACAATGGCAGAAGACCAACGCCACCGCCATGGTCGCCGACGACCCCGCGGCTACCCCCAGTGAGCCGACCGAGATCGCAAGTTTTCCCGACGAAGCCGAAAGCGTCAATGAAGACGACCGCGTACGCATCAAGTCGAGGCAAAAGAAAAAGCCGGCGAAACCTATTGTGCACAATGATACTGGGGCTACTAGTGCCAACGGCGACAAGTCTGCAGATCGAGACCCGGGGTCGAAACGCTCGCGGTCCAAAGGCCCGCCGAAAAGAGTTGTCAGCGACACGAATTGGATGGCCAAGAAGAACAAGAAAAACAGCCCACCACGGGCGAAATCACCACCGAAGGCCAAGCTAGCAAGTCCCAGCCCCGGCCCTATGCCACTCCCTAAGGGCTTCTTACAGCGTCCATCCGTCAACCCGCCTGTATCCAAGAAGATCAAGGACTGGGCGGCAAAGGTTGAACTCCCAGCGTCACCACCTCCATCCGAGCACCGCAGGTCTAAGTCTAGGGGAGCCGCAACAGATGGCGAGGTGGGGGACAATATCTCCAGAAGTTCATCCCGACCGCCACCCTCAGACGATGACGGAATTCGTGTAAAACCGTTGAGAATGAAGAAATTAGAGGACGACGGAATACGCGTCAAGCCCTTACGGACACCTCTTCGAGACGATGGCATTAGGGTCAAGCCGACCCGCGACACATCAGAAGCAGGCGGCTCATCTCACGTTTCATCGTCTCACTTGCCGGCCAGCCGACCATCATCAAGCTCTAAGTGTAAGCCTTCGCCGACGCGAGACGACATTGTTGTCATGGAAGAAGACGAGTCAGAGTGTATAGAGGTCATCGAAGAACCCGATTCCTGTCCAGACACACCAACAAGGAAACCTTCTGGAGAACGGCCCCGGAGAGTGAGCCGGAGACAAACACCACCGAAACCACGAAACGACACGATACGAGATGATCAGTCGTGGGTCAGCACTGACGAGTCTGCCATTCGGGCCGGCATGGACTCGGATCTTGGCTCCAGTGTTCTCACCAGTGCAGCTGGAGCCAAGTCCCTCGCAGACATCCCCGTTGGCTTCTCCGCTTTCAGTGAGCTCGACCTGCCCAGTGGGAAGGGCAAGCGTCCCAAAGCGCAGCGCAACCCTAGTTTCAAGGCTGTCCCCAATGTCTTCAAGAAAGTGGTTACAGAAGGCAAGAAGATTCTCCACGAAGCCAAGGAGCCTCCCAAACCCATCGTAGCAAATAAGCCTCCTAGTATCGAGAAGTGGCTGAGCAAGACTGTCGATCCTTTTGTGGAGGACGGAGACGGTGAAGGTTTGAAACACGTCGAAAAAAATTCAATCTCAAAGGAGAATTTGCGAGACAACGCGACCGGGAGACGATCTTCGGGAGGAAACAGGAGAAGAAAATCATCGCCTCCTCCCAAAACGGAGCTCACTCAACTCACCGAACTTACAGAAAGCACGGGGTTGACCGAGTCAACAGGGCTTACAGAGTCAACTGGGTTCACCGAATCAACAGGACTTACGGAGTCGACTGGGTTCACCGAATCAACAGGCTTCACAGGCACGACGACCTCGACCGAAAACGACGAGAACAAAGAGCCTCGTCGGGAATCTGACGAAAAGAAAGCTCACAGTCCTGCCACGACGCCTACGTCGGCAGGTCTCAGACGACGAGCTGCTACGCGAGCCACGTCATCACCTCTCAAACCCGCAGGCAAGAAGCCGTTCAGAGAAGTGCTCAAAGAGGCCTTCCGGGGGGAGTCTGGTGCTCACTTCTTCACGCCCAAAGTCTACCCCAGCTGCGAGAGGGAACCTGAGCCGGACTATGACAGCTACGATGACGATGACTACTCGAGTCGATATGATGATCGCCGCAGACGTTCCGGTTCTAGTGGAAGCTGGACCGATGAGCCCTCGTCTGTCGGTGACGGCAAGGCACAATCTATGCAGGGTCCCCGGCGGCGGCCCCCAACAAATGGTGTACATGAGCTTTCCACAATCGTAGGCTCTGTTGAGGGCTACAGCAGCCAGGAGTCAGACCTGACCTCCATCGTTTCCGACACGACTGTGACACAATCCACTGCCCTTACGAAGGACACGGCGGTCTCGCGGCAGAGGAGCCACACGTCCGGAACAAGCCTTAAGCGGAGACTGACCAAGCATTCCGACCTGGTGTCAGTGCTCTCGCTGCCCGATGACAGTTATGTACCTGGAGGAGTGCTCAATACACGATCCCGCCCGAGCTTGAGGAAAGGCAAAAGCCACACCGACTCGGTGATATCTGTCACGGTGGGCGACCTCATGCAGGAATTTATCGATGACGAGAATCTGTACCAACGAGAGCTGAAGACACTCGTCGACGGCGTCATCCCAGTCCTGTTGACGACTGTACTGAAAGGCGACCGCAACAGCACCTCGGGGCTCTTCGGCCCGGGGTCGCCTGGCACGAAACCGACCGGACTTTCAAAAGCAGTCGTCAATATGGGCATCGCCTTGGAGAAACTGAAGAATGCTCATAGGAAGGCCTCTCATTCCGACATTGACCGCCTCGTATCATGGATGCAAGCAGCCGCCCCAATTTATGACAGCTACCTCGATGCCTGGCGGCTTGGTTTCCAAGACCTCATCGTCAACCTTCTCCCTGCGGCCGGTCGCCTGGATGACGAGGATTCGCTTATCGGAGCCTTGCCGCGCAATGACGAAGGAGACGTGATCAACGAGAACGGAGAGAGGATCGACGTTGCGCATCTGTTGAAACGGCCCGTGCTCCGCATCAAACTGCTCACAAGCTGGGCCAAGGTATGTGAGGAGATGTGCGCTAGAGTGGTCATCGCTGACAAGTGAAGGGTGCGCACACGCTGCTTTCGAACAACGACACGCTCGCTCTCGTGGGTGACTATGAAGTGCTGCAAGAAAAGGCCCGCCGCCGCCAGAAGGAAGAGTCGGCTCGCGTAACCGACGAAGACGCCTACAACACAGACACGTCTAGGACAAGAGATCTTAGGACGCTGGCACCCCTGGGCTCTATCAAGATTGACCCCACAAAGCAAGTCAGCGCCAAAGACCTCTTCTCCCTCAATTTGATTCACTCCAATGGCCAGCGGCTGGAGTGCCGAGTCGAGTTGGTACACAGAGATAACCCTTCCCGTCCGAACGACCAAGGAGACCTGCTCATCCGCGAAACTGGAGGCAGTCGCCAGACATGGCTTCTATTTCCTCCGGCACCAGCGTCTGCCGTGTCAGCTCGTAGGGGAGTAAACGATCTCGAGCTCGTTATCATGATTTCGGGTACCCACAATGGCAAAGCATGGTACGAACTTCTGACATTGACGACCGACGACGAAGAGCAGGTTGACGACTGGCTCGACATTCTCGGCTCCACGCCTCTACCGCCGTTGTCCCGGGCGCCGATCATAACACCAGACTCGCTCCCCTCTACTTCCTCCCCACGCACAAAGGCAACGGATGTACCTGTGGGCGGCCGATTGCGCGCCAGCGTTCCTCCCTCTCCAACCCGAGGGTCAGCGTCCCCCGAGCCTTCAACACCGATGAAGCGACCAACACCGAGCAGATACCATTCCCGAGCTGCCAGCCTTCCAACCACTCCCATCACGGCCTCAGCGCCTGCTCCCCAGAACACCTCCCCAGACAGGACTCCTACTCAGCAGTCCTACAACACTGCGCACGTCGAAAATGACCGCAGCCGCCCTCTCAAAGAAAGCATGCGACCTGAGAATTTGTCGCTCGATGATGCGACTGCTTCTGACGTGTCCAGCGACACCACTACCTATCGGGAAGACGGCGCTCCGCCCCCGCCGGTGCATCGCGAATTCTCCAAGTCGCCGGCTCCTGAGATCACCCTAGAGAGTTCTCGTATCAAGCGGCGGACTTCGTCTCCTCTCAAACACGAATACCTGCCATCGGATCATTCTTCTGTGACCGACGACTCTTTCACAGAAAGTTCGGATGATGACTACTCAGACGACGACTCCGAAGATGGCACTGAGGTGCCCGAGACGGAGCTTGGTGTCAGTATCAAGGACTCTGTACCCCTTCCCGCGCCAGGACACCTTTTGGAAGGATCCATGGTATCGGAGTCTCTGTGTAGCGTGACCCCCTCCAACTCGGCGTCTCAGGCCGGCCTACCAAGACGCAATTCCGGCACCCCTGACACATTCACCAAGTACATCGCAACACTCTCTTACTGGTCCGACAAGAAGGGCGTATGGAAAGACATATCTGGCGAGCCGTGCTCCGTCATTGTAGGCCCCGGAATCATTGAAGCATACAGCCTCGTCATCGATCAGACAAACGCCAATGAGGAACAGCCCAAGCCCCTCATCGCCCTTGACCTCACCCCTCTGGTGCTGCTCCGTCAGTCCACAGTCCTTGATCTTGAGATCCGCTCCGCTGTGCAAGAACATTGCCAACACCAAAACCTTGGAGGTGGCAATTTCCGCTTCCGCTGCACCTCCAGCACTGAGTGTTATAACCTGTACATGGCTGTTCACCACGCTCGCCTCAACAATCAAAAGTTCATTCAACTTGAGAACGATGCGCGGTTCAAGAACTTTGGCGAGAGGCAGGCTCCCGTTGAGCGTGACGACGACGGCAGTAGCCGGCGCCGTAGCTGGTTCGGTAGGAAGAACAGCTATCGTGCGTCGACCCGCGCGCCTTCGCAATCTCAGGAGGGCGGCAGCATCGCGCCGTCGTCGAGCATCTCGGCCTCCAGCTTCCTCAAGCGTCTCACTGGCGGCGGCAACCTCTCCTTCAACATCGCCCGATCCTCCGTCGACAAGAACTCGCAGTACGGCAATAACAGCACCTACGCTTCTGAGTCGGGTTCCTCGGGCGGCGCTGCCTCTCCTCGGGCACCATCTCTTTACTCATCAGCACGAACAACCAACGGACAACCACTGTCGGCAGACAACATCCGCATCCGCCTTCATCTTCTCGTCACAGCGACCAAGTGGGAAGACTATGGTAACTGCAGCCTTCAAATTAGGCGACCGCCTCCAGGTTGGCACCAGGAACTTCGTGCCAATCACGGCCTCGAGAAGCGCATCACAGTCACCACCTTGCCGAGGAAGGACTCGGAGGCACCCCGGATCATCCTCGACGCCGTATTGGGCTCAGGGTGTTTCACGCCAATGGGGTCTCGCGGTATCATCTGTGGCATCTGGGAGGAGCTGCGCACAGCAACCGGCGAGGTTGGCATCGCGCCCGCGACAGGCGGCGCGGCGGGAAGCATCAAAAAGTGGTGTTTCCAGTGCGCAAGCGCCGGTGAGGCGCAATGGGTGTTGAGGCTTGTACATCAGGAGGTTATGCGGGCGTAATCTTGCCCCTATTTCCTTGGCTCTTTCTCCTTTTCCCCTTGATACCAAGCCTCTTGTGTCTAGTTTTTGTTCCCTTATTTCAGCGAAGGATACCACGGGGTGTTTGCCTCTTTTCTACGACGTTTTCTCTCCAACTTCTTTGCCCTCTTTTTTTTCTTTGTATTGTATGGAGCGTTCGATACCAGGTTAGAGGTGATCAAAACCGACACCTAACAGCATTAGCATAGGCAGCGGCGCAGGAGGATCATTGCTTGCGGCGACCGCTTGGTCAAGCTGCCCGGGAGATGGCGGATTGGAGGCACAGGAAGGACAACCGAATTGTACATGTATACATGGTCATCGGCTCACTGAAAATGGACGACGATTTAAAACTAAGCGTACATTTGTTGGGTTGTGCCATGTTCCATCTAATTTTCAGTAGCACTGACTGCATCGTCGCAGGGCTCTGAGATGGCTCGCTACTTGGGTATCTCTGTTATATAGGTTTCATTCAGTCCGCCTCGGCCTCGTCGCGACCAGGATACTCGGCAAGGTAGCCCTGCAACTTCCACAGCAGAAGCTGCGCCGGGATGGTCCGCCGCTTGCCGAGCACGAGAAGGGTGCTGTCGGCGAAGGCGGGCTCGGCCCGCAACCGCGCGAGGTGCTCGTCGCCGAGAAGCCGCCGCAGGTCGTGGACGGGCATCTTGCCCTCGTACTTGGCGCCCTCAATGTCGAGCGTCGCCCACGGGCCGGGTGTCTCGGCAGCGGCAGCGGAAACCGCGGCCTCGCCGGGCGACCACAGGACGCAGCCGCGGTGGGGCATGTCCCTGTTGATCTGGGCCCAGGACGCGCAGGGGCGGAGGTAGCCGCGGGCGGGCGCGGCGTCGAGACGGGCGAGGCGGAGCAGGGCGTCGACGGCGCGGGCGCGCAGCAGGTCGAGGACGAGGCGGTGCATGTGCGGCGGCCAGACGAGGCGCGGCAGCAGGCCGGAGCGGGAGAGGTGGGCACGGCGGGCGAGCATGGCGATGTGCTTGCCGCCGAGGCTCGAGACGCGGCGGGGGCTGCCAAGGAGCTCGAGGACGTCGTGGCGGGCGAGGACGTAGCCTACGGGGGCCGAGGGGCCGGCGAGGGGTCGAGGGGCGTCGGTCGGGCTGCGGCCCTCTGGAGAGGACTCTTGGCCGGAGACCGGTGGTGGCGGCGTGTCTGGCGCAGCGGCGTCGGTCCGGTCGCCGGGCACGAAGCAGGGCTGGCCCGTCTCGGGGTTCGTGACGACCTCGAAGTCCTGGAGGAAGTAGCGCGGCAGACCTGTCTCCGTCGCCGTGCAGAGCCGCCAGGGCGTCGCCAGTGCCTGTGCTGTAGTATCCGTTTTCCCGTCAGCCAAAAGTCCTGTGCGTGCAGAGCCCAGAATGGGGCAGAACAGGAGGGTAGCCCCCCCCGCCCGCCCCCCTTCCGACGTACCGTACGGGTTGAGGTAGAGCTTCTTCCTGAACCGGCCGAGATAGGTGTGAGCGGGCGTCTTGGGCTTGGGCGTGCGAAAGCGCCGCCGCGCCTCGATCCACGCCGGATCCATGACGGGCGAAAGCGGCAGCGCGCCGACGACCGTTTCAATCGTCTTGCTGTGCGGGTGCAGCTTGAGCGTGGCGCCGTGCTCGTCGGCCTGCAGGGCTCGGTCGACCTGCGCTGCCAGGGCGGCTTGGGTCTCGGCGCGCGAGGGGCGGTTCGTGCTGGCGTGGCGGCATGGGGGGCGCCGTTGTGTGGCCCTACCGAGGAGGGACGAGGCGTTGCGGAGGGAGGTGCATGGTGGCATCACCGGGAACGGGTGAAGGTTTTGGTGGTCGGTCGGGGGGGGGGGGGGGTCCGAAGGATGGCAGAGTTCGAGAGGGTGCTTGGGAGCTGGTGCAAGGCAAGTGACGTTGAAGCTTTACGCGCTTGGCGGGGCGGGTCGCGTCAGGGGTACGGCGCACTGCAGGGCATGAATGGGCTTGAAGAGCCTCCGCGTCCAGCGCCCGTCGTGCTCTTTTTTCTACGTTTTTAGGCTTGCTGATGGATTGAATGGATGATGCATTTCCTGACTATAGCTGACACGAGGCTGGCGTCCAACTCTTGGCTTCCCAGCGCTACGGCGCCCAGTCCACCGCAGTCCACGGCAGTCCACGGCGCCCAGTCGACGGCAGTCCACGGCCGTCTATGACCGTCTACGGCTTCGTCTTCTGCGCATCCCCCTTCTCCTTCTCGTCCTTCTCGGTGCGGCGTGTCAGAATCTCGTCAATGACGCCCATCTCCTTGGCCTCCTCGGGCGTCAGGTACTTGTCGCGCTCCATCATGTCGTTGACCTCGGCGAGCGAGTACCGGTCGCGGCCAAAGGCGGCGTTGAGGTGGCGCCGCATAATCTCGTTGAGCTTGGTGCGCACGCGCTGGATCTGGTGGGCGTAGATGAGAATGTCCGACGCCTGGCCCTGCGTGCCGCCGAGGGGCTGGTGGATCATGACGGAGCTGTGCGGCAGGGCGTAGCGCTTGCCCGCCTCGCCGCCCGTCAGCAGCAGCGCGCCCATGGACGAGGCGGCGCCGAGGCAGACGGTCGAGACGGGCGACTTGATGTAGGTCATTGTGTCGTAGATGGCGAGGCCTGCCGCCCTCTTTCGTCAGCGCCTTTCTGCTGCCATGCGTATAAAAGGAGAAGGGGGGGGGGGAACAGTACCAGAGGTGACGGAGCCGCCGGGCGAGTTGATGTAGAGCGTGATGGCCTTGTCGGGGTTGTCCGACTCGAGCCAGAGCAGCTGCGCGACGATGGACGCCGAGACGGTGTCGTCGATGGCCCCGTTGAGGCAGATGATTCTCTCCTAAGGGTGGGACCCGAGGTCAGTGGCCGCCCGCGTTCCCCCGTTGCGTGTGGCCGTCAAGAAGGGGCCGTCTTGCGTGTGGCCGTCAAGAAAGGAGGCGTACCTGCAGCAGCTTGGAGAAGATGTCGTCTGGCAGGGAAAGGGAGGAAAACCGCGTCAGCCGAGGGAGGGGGTCGCCGGGAGCAATTTTCGAAGCGCGGCACTAACATGTCCTCCAGCCGCTGGACTGTGTCATGGGTCAGCGCGCGCTGCAGCCACAAAAGGCCCCTGGCGAGAAAGCGCAGAAGGGTTCGGACGTACTGAAACCTCGGTGATGTAGGGCATGGGGATGCTGGCGCTCGGCGGCTGGGCCGGTCCGCCGCCTGCGAAATGGGACATGGCCCGCGCCTGTGGTCTTGGGACGGTGCCCAGCGCTCGGAGGAGAGGGCGGCGGCAGAACATGGTGGTGCGATGCCGGGAAAACGAAGGGGAGCTGCACTGTCGCGAATTGTCACTGTCCCATCCCCGTCGCCTGCTGCTAAGGTACGATGGTGTCGCGAGAGCTCCTTATCTTATCGTCACGTGGGCGCAAGCACCGACGGCAATGCAGGACAGGACAGAGACGGCGTCGAGTATTCGGAGACCACTGAAGCGGGACACCAAGCATTCGGTGACCACTGAAGTGGAACACGAAGCATTCGGTGACCACTGAAGTGGAACACGAAGCATTCGGAATGATTACTGAAGTGGGACGTCAAGGGATCCATCCACATGCAGTCGTCTCCAACGTTGGAGTACACTCGAAAAGGCATCATACGTCGATCGAGAGAACCCCCCCACGACGGGAGTTCACTGGCTCTGCTTCTAAGCCAACCTCACTCACCCAAGGCAGGTTGGCTGTGAGTAGCACGCATACTCCAGCTATGCTTGTCCAGCATCACCACGACGCCTGTGCCACCAGCAAGTGAGCAACATGGTAGATCGAGTAGTACTCTGCAGCTGCGTGCGCTGTTGGCTCTGCCAAACCTCGACTCTGCCAAGTCTTGACTCTGCCAAGTCTTGACTCTGCCAAACCAACGAACAATGCACCACCGAGTGCCACGCCAGGTCGCATGTGAAGACGGCTGTTCGATGCTGTCTATCTGGATGGCACCAAAACAAGAAACAAGGGATCTCGAGCACCATCAGTAGCGACCCCGTCTGTCGAGTGAACCGAAGATGCAGCTAGACGGCTTTCGCATAGCTACATACCCCCATAGCCAATGTGCATCCGCGCTATTCCCGATGCACACACGGTAGATGGACGCGGCCAATGAGACGGCGTCTATTGCAATGCGGGGAGGGTCCAGAGCCGACATCGCCCAAAATTTCAGACGTTTGTGCTCGCGCTCAGTGCGCCCGCTGGCTGAGGCTCAGTGCTCGTGCAGTGCTCGCTCAGTGCCCGTGCAGTGCTCGCTCAGTGCTCGTGCAGTGCTCGCTCAGTGCTCGTGCAGTGCTCGTGCTCGTGCTCCCTGGAGCTGACGGCATCGCACCGAAGAAGCTCTCTCGTCTTAGCGTCTGTCCCTGTGATCTTTAGGTCTCTCCGCCGCCCACGCCCTCGCCATTGACTCATCACGGACACCATTCCGGCACGATAAAGTCGAAGCAGTGCGCCCGGCATCAGGACCAAGGTCTTTCTCGGTCTCTACACCTCTCGGCCGCCATCTCCGACACCGCCGCCCACCATGCTTTCGAGGTCATTTGGCATGCGGTCCTCCGCCCTTCGAGCTGCCTCGAAGGTTCGGTCGACGCCCTCGAGCTATGCGTATGTTCCCCTGCGCCAATGGATCCAATGCGCCCTCGCCCAGCTCGATCTCTCGTGACCATGGCATACTGACTTTTTTTTTTGGTGCCTTCTCCAGTCGAACCCTGTCTACGACGGCCTCGCGCGCCGGCGACGAGACGCTGAACAAATTCTCGTCCAAGATCACCCAGCCCAAGTCCCAGGGTGCCTCGCAGGCCATGCTCTACGCCACCGGCCTCAGCGAAGACGACATGAACAAGGCCCAGGTCGGCATCTCCTCCGTCTGGTACGAGGGCAACCCCTGCAACATGCACCTCATGGACCTGTCGGCCGTCGTCCGCGAGTCCGTCGCCAAGGCCGGCCTCATTCCCTACCGCTTCAACACGATTGGCGTCTCCGACGGCATGAGCATGGGCACCAAGGGCATGCGCTACTCCCTGCAGAGCCGTGAGATCATCGCCGACAGCATCGAGACGGTCATGAACGGCCAGTGGTACGACGGCAACATCTCCCTGCCCGGCTGCGACAAGAACATGCCCGGCGTCGCCATTGCCATGGGCCGCGTCAACCGCCCCAGCATCATGGTCTACGGCGGCACCATCAAGCCCGGCTGCACCAAGAAGGGCGAGAACGTCGACATTGTCTCGGCCTTCCAGGCCTACGGCCAGTACATCACGGGCGAGATCACCGAGGAGGAGCGCTTCGACATCATCCGCCACGCCTGCCCCGGCAGCGGCGCCTGCGGCGGCATGTACACGGCCAACACCATGGCCACGGCCATCGAGACGCTCGGCCTCACCCTGCCCGGCAGCAGCAGCAGCCCGGCCGAGGACCCGGCCAAGAAGGCCGAGTGCGAGAACGTCGGCGAGGCCATCAAGAACCTGCTGCGCGAGGACCTCCGCCCCCGCGACATCCTGACGCGCCAGGCCTTTGAGAACGCCATGATCGTCGTCAACATCCTCGGCGGCAGCACCAACGCCGTCCTCCACCTGCTCGCCATTGCCGACAGCGTCGGCATCAAGCTCACCGTCGAGGACTTCCAGGCCGTCTCCGACAGGACGCCCTTCCTCGCCGACCTCAAGCCCTCGGGCCAGTTTGTCATGGCCGACATGCACCGCATCGGCGGCACGCCGGCCCTCCTCAAGTTCCTCCTCAAGGAGGGCATCCTCGACGGCGCGGGCGTCACCGTCACGGGCAAGACCATGGCCCAGAACGTCGACGCCTTCCCCGACTTCCCCACCGACCAGCAGATCATCCGCCCGCTGAGCAAGCCCATCAAGCCGACGGGCCACATTCAGATCCTGCGCGGCCAGCTCGCGCCCGGCGGCTCCGTCGGCAAGATCACGGGCAAGGAGGGCCTCGTCTTCACGGGCAAGGCGCGCGTCTACGACGACGAGGACGACTTCATCGCCTCGCTCGAGGCCGGCGACATCAAGAAGGGCGAGAAGACGGTTGTCATCATCCGCTACGAGGGCCCCAAGGGCGGCCCCGGCATGCCCGAGATGCTCAAGCCGAGCTCGGCCATCATGGGCGCCGGCCTCGGCCAGGACGTCGCGCTGCTGACCGACGGCCGCTTCTCCGGCGGCAGCCACGGCTTCCTCATCGGCCACATCGTGCCCGAGGCCCAGGAGGGCGGGCCCATCGGTCTCGTCCAGGACGGCGACGTCATCACCATTGACGCCGAGAGGCGCGTCATCGACTCGAACGTGTCCGAGGCCGAGATGACCCGCCGCCGCGCCGACTGGACGGCGCCCGCGCTCAAGTACACCAAGGGCACCCTCAAGAAGTACGCGTCGCTCGTCAGCGACGCCAGCTCTGGCTGCGTCACGGACGGCCCTATCTAGCGTCCTGTCGTCGGCCGTCGGGTGTCGGGCTGAAAATGGTCGTGCGAGGCGCCGAGGCCGCTGGGAGGACCAGCTGAACAGTGTGTACGTGCGAAGCGTTGTACGATGTGCGCCGTGAGGAGGCGAGGCAGGGTGATTCGGGGTTTTTTCCCCTTTGGGCTGTGCTATATCACTGTTGGACATGTGGAAAAGAAAAAAAAGGGGGTAACCTACACGGAGTTCCAAATTTACGTTATGCCATCACTTGTCTCGTCGCGCCGCTTTTGGGGGGGGGGCAGAGGGCAGAGGGCAAATGCTGCTAGATAGCGGCACCATGTCGTCAGAATTGACTTGTTTTCAAATTTTCGCGCGCAAGTGGTATCAGAAGGCGCCAAAGTCGGGGTGGCCTCATTTTTGTTAAAAAAAAAAAAAAAAAGAACAGAAGAAACACACGAGTGAAAGGCCCAAGCATATGAGATGTCCGCCCCGAAAACGTCACGCCAACCCGAGTTAAGAGGAGAAAGAATAAAAAAGAAGAAAAAAAAGGTCCCGCTCCAACTCCTTCATCATCCCGTTGTCACCTATCTGTGCAGCCCTGTCAGGTGTGCAAGGTCGTGACACAACGTAGGCCAGCGGCACTGCCCTTCGCAGAGGCGGGCATCCTCCGCATAGGCCTCGGCCGCAGCAGGCTACCGCTTCGCCCGGCGGTTCCACGTGTCCACAAACGCAGCCTTGTCCTGGAGCGTCAGGCCGACGCGCTTGTTCCTCCCCAGGCGGGCCAGGGCCTCGGCGACCTTGTCGAGGACGCGCTGCTCCTCCATGGTGACGTCGGCACCGGCACCAGCGCGGCGTCTCGTGACGGCGCTGCTCTCGTCGTGCGATGCGTGGGCGCCGTTGGTCTGGGCGCGGGAGGCGTTGCGCACGGCCTCGGCGACGCGGACGCGGATGCAGATGGTGGGACGCGACAGGAGGGCCCAGAGAAAGGGGAGCCAGCGGCCGGGCACGGGGGGGGTGACGTCGCCGGGGGTGTAGCGCAGGCTGACGGGGAAGATGTCCGTGTCGGCGGGGGCGGCGAGCAGGGCGGGGGCCAGGGGCAGGACGGCCTTGCCGTTGGTGGTGGCGGCCTCGGGGAAGACGGCGACGACGCGGGTCGGGTGGGCGGCGAGCAGGGCGTCGAGGTCGTAGAGGGTGGCGCCGGGGGGCGGGCTCTGGCGGACGGGGCCGAGGGCGGCGGCGACGGCGGACAGCAGGGAGACGCGCTCGAGCTTGCGGGTCGAGGGGTAGGCGCGCGTGAAGATGGGGTCGAAGATGGCGGCGAGGTAGAGGGCGTCGATGGGCGAGGTCAGGGTCGAGGCGATGACGGAGGTCGGGTGGGGGAAGCGGCTGGGCGGCTGGTCGGCGAGGGTGCCGCGGCGCACGCCGTCGAGCTGCAGGTCGATCCACCACAGGCCGGGGATGGCCATGAGCGACCAGAGCAGGGCCTTGCGGACGACGACGGGCAGCGGCAGGTGGTGGAGGAAGAGAAAGTAGGTGGCCGTCAGGGTCAGGAAGAGCGGCAGGCGCAGGAGGAACAGCGACGTGTGGAGGGCGTAGCTGAGAGGCGACACGGGCGTCTTGATGGGCATGAAGGGCGAGATGCCGGAGCCCTTGTCACGAAACTGGCTGAACTTCTCCATGGCGACGTGACGTTGGGGGTGGGGTTGTGTCCAGGCGTTGGGACGCTTTCGAGAAGGGCTTCGGCGGCGGACGAGGGGGAGGCGTCGAGCTCGTTTTCCACCGACGACGACGGCGTAGCTGGGTCGTGCACCTCGGGGCTGTGTGTCGGCAGAGGTGGCGAGACGGGGCAGAAGACGAGACGAGGGGGACTGGAGGGCCGACGAGGCATGAGGGTGGACGAACGAGGTGGTGGGCTTCAGGATAGTGATAGCTACTGTCAGAAGTGACAGACACAGACACAGACACAGAGTGAGCACGCACCTGGTGGGAGGCCCAAGAGATCGTCATTGGCCCTGACATGTGAAGAAGGCTCCGCCAGCGTCACCGCCTGCCTTTTTCTGCCGGGTCCTCACACCTCCACACCGAGACCTGTCATCAAGGTGAGCTCGGTATGCTGAGGCTGAAGGACCACCTCTTTCTGCAGCCTCAGGCATCCATTTCTAGCTGTCGCTCGTTGCCCCGGCACCAAAGCACTGACACACACACACCCATGACATTGCATTGCATGTAAACATGTACGTCCACCCCCGGCAGAGCAATCCACGCCACGCCAGTCAGAGAGAGGCACAGGCATCGGAGAGGTAGACTGATTGATGGTCCAAGCCAGCCCCCACGCCGAATTGGGAAGTGAAGCAACAACCGCGAGAGAGCTGCCCACTGCCTGCCCGTCTCGAACCTCTGTGCGCCGAACGCCTAACCCCCCCCAAAACACACCAAACAAAGCCATCCATCACGACGTCGTCCCCTCGAGCCGCAAGAGACGGAGCGTTGCTCCTCGCGTCCTGCGTCGTGTTTCCCGTTGCCATTCACCGCCGCGCCCAGAACCTCTTGAGCATGGACACGGCCACCTGCGACACCACAGCCTTTCGAACGTCGACGACCATGCAGCGAAGCCAGCTACCCCGACCCGGCGCGCCGCCTCACGGCCTCTCCGAGCTCAGCGAATCTCAGAGCAATGCGCGTCCCCACGCCGCCACCATGATGCCGCCGCCCTCCAAGATTGGTGGCATCGCCGCCGGCACCAAGCGCGAGGTGCCCCAGCCAGGTGCGCGCATGTCCTTCTCCTTCTCTCTCGGGTCCTCTTACTCTCGGGTCCTCTTACTCTCGGGTCCCCTTCGTACCCTTCGCCGCGGCAGCCCTGTACTGACCTGTGCGAGCAGCAGCGACGCAGCCTCAGAGGAGGACGTTGATGGACCGAGCCAGAGACTACCCAGACAAAGACCCCGCCGCCCCATCGGCCGGCGTGCGAAAGATCCCCCCGAGAGCAAATGGCCATGTCAAAGGCCAGTCATTGACTTCGGTGAGTCTCTCTTCTGCTTCCCATGTGGGCGACAGAAAGGGCAAGGCGACGCTGCTGTTGCCCGTCACGGGCCCCTCGTCCTAGCCAAGCACCTCGTCGCAGCCAGGCCTCTCGCTAACACGGCTTCGCCCAACAGCTTAAGCAGCCCTCCAGTGGCCTCTCGTCGCGCCAAACCTCAACCTCCACCGCCCCGGCTGGCTCGCGGCAGACCTCGAGCAGCAGCTTCGCCAGTAGTATGGGCGCCGGCCGACATGCCCTCGATCGATCAAAATCGGCACTGGGCAACCGCGATCAGTACGGACGTCCCAGAGGCAACACTACCATATCGCGACCGCAGACGTCCCACGGACACAACCCGGAAGACGACTTGGACGGAGGACATGGACAGAACGGTACGACCAGAATTCCCCGGCCGCACAGCGCTCCACGGTATTCCAGCCCCGGCTAGGAGCAGGGCAGGGAACCGCGCGCCGCGAAACGCGCCCCAGCACCAACACCCGCGCAGAGGGAAGTGTCTCTCAACAGAAGGTTCAAGAACCTATCCATCGACGACGACAGCTTCGAAAGCGCCGTCGTCGAAGCGAGCCAAGTGGTCTCCATCAAGCGCGTCCCCTCTCACGCACCCCTCGTCCAGCCCCTCGTCCAGCCCCTATCCCACGAGAACATCACGATTCGCTCGCCCCGCAAACCCGTCCCCAAAGTAGCACTGCCAGAGCGCAAGCCCAAGGCATCTCGACCCAACCTGGGGGCCTTGACCTGTCCGCCCGTCACACCCGCGGCCGAGTCGAAGCAGATCAAGGCGCACATGGACCGGCTCGAGGAGACTGTCAGGTCACTCACCGGAGATGCGCGGTCACCCATCAAGTCCCCGTCGCCACAGAAGCTACCGTTTTTGAGCAAATTCTCTAACACGACTGATTTCACAGCCCTTGATGTCCACGAGAGATTGGGCGCCGTCGACACGCAGATGAAGCAGCTGCGGGATCTCATGGACAACTCGCTATCGGAAAAGAAGGCCGCCGACGATGCGCACGAGTTGATGAGGAGGCGAGGTACGCCGCCGGATGGTTCTCGCCGCCATGCAGGCAGCGAGAGAGAGAGGTCGACTCATGCTAACACGATCGCAGTGACCGACCTCGAGACGGAACGAGAACGACTCGGGACACGCAACGAGACGCTACAGACGGATCTCGAAACCACCCGGGAAAAGCTCAAGATGCTGCAGTTTGACGTCGAGGCAGAGAGGCGAAATCACAAGTACGAGCTCGAAGACGAAGCGAGGAGGCACCGCAACGAACAGGACGAGCTTCGGAAAAAACTAGGCGAGGAAACGGAACGACTACAGAAAACCCACCGAGAGGCCCTCGAAGCTCTCGACCGCCAACACCGGGTCGAGCTCGAGGACGAGCGAAGCGCCCAGTCGAGAGAGGTGCAGGAGCTGCGGTCCAAGCTGGGCAGCGAGCAGCAAGACCTCCACCTCGCGCTGCAGAAGAAGGAGCGCGAGATGGCCGAGATGCGGGCGCAGGTGGACGCCGTGCGGGGCGATCTCGACCGGGCGGAGGCGTTGAACAAGGGGCTCGCCAGCAACATGTCCGAGCTCGCCGCCTCCAACGTGACGCTCGAGGCCAAGATCAACTCGCTCAAGTCGCACGTCGAGTTTCTCGAATCGGACAACCAGGCGCAGTCCGACTCGTTCGCCAACATGGAGGCGAAGCTGCAGGAAGCGCTCCTCGCGGCGGACGAGGCGCGCCACAAGCTCATCAAGGAGGAGACGGAGCGGCGCATCCTGTTCAACAAGTACCAGGAGCTCAAGGGCAACATTCGCGTCATGTGCCGCGTGCGGCCGGTGCTCGGCGAGGGCGAGGGCGAAGGGGCCAAGATCACGTTCCCCGACGACAGGACGTCGGCCGAGATTGCGCTGCAGGGCGCCGAGGAGACGACGGCCATGGGCCGCGTGAGCCGCAAGACGTTCAACTTTGAGTTTGACCGCGTGTTCGCGCCGGCGGCGCTCAACCAGGACGTGTTTGACGAGATTTCGCAGCTCGTGCAGAGCGCGCTCGACGGCTACAACGTGTGCATCTTCTGCTACGGCCAGACGGGCTCGGGCAAGACGCACACCATGTCGTCGGAGGACGGCATGATCCCGCGGGCGACGCACATGATCTACGACACGATCACCAAGCTCAAGGCCAAGTCGTGGACGTACACGATGGAGGGCTCGTTCATCGAGGTGTACAACGAAGAGCTCAACGACCTGCTGGCGCCCACCAGCCGCGAGTCGGACGGCAGGGGCCGGCGGCTCGAGATCCGGCACGACGAGGCGCGCAAGCAGACGACGGTGGCGCACTGCAAGACGGTGGCGCTCGACTCGGCGGACAAGGTCGAGGCGATGCTCGCGCAGGCGCAGTCGAACCGGTCGGTGGCGGCGACCAAGTCGAACGAGCGGTCGTCGCGGTCGCACAGCGTCTTCATCCTCAAGCTCGTGGGCCACAACGCGTCGACGGGCGAGCGGTGCGAGGGCACGCTCAACCTCGTCGACCTCGCCGGCTCGGAGCGGCTCAAGCAGTCGGGGGCCGAGGGCGAGCGCATGAAGGAGACGCAGAGCATCAACAAGTCGCTGTCGTGCCTCGGCGACGTCATCGAGGCGCTCGGCCGCGGCAGCGGGCACGTGCCGTACCGCAACAGCAAGCTGACGCACCTGCTGCAGTACTCGCTCGGCGGCAACAGCAAGACGCTCATGTTTGTCATGGTCAGCCCGCTGGAGACGCATCTCAAGGAGACGCTGACGAGTCTGCGGTTTGCGACAAAGGTATGTCACGAGCGAAAAAGGGGGGGCGGGCCTTCGAGAGACGACGAGCTAACAGGGTGCAGGTTCACAATACCCATATTGGCACGGCCAAGGCGACGAAGAAGGGGTAACGAACGGCTTCCGAGGCAAGAAGACGTGGCTGGTCGACTGATGAACAAGGCGTTTTCGGGGGGAGGGGGCTGGTTGCTGGCGCGGCGTTTGTATGTGTTTTGTTTGGATCCCCATGTCGAACAGGAGCCAAGGTCGTCTCGAGGGGCGAGGAAGGGTTCTGGGGGCGAGGAAGGGTTCTGGGGGGCGGGCAGGCTTGGGCCGCATGGCATCGGACAGGATTTGTATATCGACGATAGGGTAGTTGTATAGGATGTGAAGACTCTGAGCCGCTGGCTCCAGGGCCTGTGTTTGCTTCTTGCCGCTGACGATCGCAATGCAGTTGAAGGTGCCTCGATGCTGGCTGGCTTGTCGTTGTCGAGGAGGTCAGGACGTCGGTGCTGGACCAGTCCACAGGCGGCTAGCGATCTCGTTAGCGCCCGTCAGCGGCCTCAGGGGGGGGCCGGGCCTCTGCGCCAGGGAGCCAAGGCCGCTAGCTCCAGGGACCGGGCCCTTTGTTTTCCCCCTCCTTGTTGCCGCCCGCCCCTCCTTTGTTTCCCCCTCCTTGCTCCTCCCCATCCTTGTTCAGACGCCCAACGACACGACATGGAACCAACCGACGCTCCATCTTGTTCTCGTCGAGGCTGCGCTGCTGCTCCATTGCCTCCTCCACAAGCAGCATCCAGTGCGTGACGGGCCATGAAGGCCATCATTGACGCGATAGAGCACGACTTGACCAGCACATGAGCATCACCATAGCGTCAGCAGGCATCACCATAGCTTCAGCAGGCATCACCATAGCTTCAGCAGGCATCACCATAGCTTCAGCAGCCATCGCCAGAGCTTCAGCAGCCATCGCCAGAGCTTCAGCAGGCATCACCAGAGCTTCACCATTGCGACACCAAGATGCACACGGCCTCCACCACGGCGCGCGGCACCAAGCCCGGCGGCCTCGCCTCCTCGAAATGGGCTTCCACGACCTCCCCCGCCTGGTCCTCCCGCGGCACCCCGACCTACACCCCCCGCAGCAGCAGCAGCAGCAGCGCCGTCGGTCCCCGCGCGACGTCCGTCATAACCCCGGCCACGCAGTGGTGGGAGACGCCCAACCCAGCGCCCAAGCTGCGCGACCCCGCCGCCGCGACGTCCGCAGCGGCACCATCCACAGCGACGCCGGCGGCAGCAGCCCCGACGACGCCGCCGCCGCCCCAGCTGTCGGCCGCCCAGCGCGAGCTCCGCCGCTACGTCCAGATCGTGCGCCGCATGAAGTGGAAGCTGCCCTACCTGCAGGACGGCTACCGCCGCGCCCTGACGCGCGAGGACGACGCCGAGCTCATGTTCAAGCTCGACTTTTACGAGTACTACATGCTCCTCGAGCGCGCCCTCGTCCACCTCCTCGGCGGCTTTGGCCGCGCCGTCGAGCGCGGGCCCGCCCCTGCCCCCGCCCCTGCGAACGGCACCGGCACCGGCACCGGCACCGGCGCCAACGGCACGCACCGCTACCACCAGAACGTGCTCGCCGCGCTCGAGAGGGCCGACAATCCGCTGCGCGCGGCGCTGGGGACCGGCGACGTCCGCGTCTTCCTCGGCCGGGCCAAGGAGCTGAGGAACCGGTGGAAGTATGCCGAGGGTGACGAGCCTTCGACTGCCCAGCAGCCGCCATTACTAAAGGGACCCACGAGGGGCAGCATCACGGGGCGGGCGCCGCTCGAGAGCTACGATCTCGACTCGATGTTTGGGCACATTTTCGGCGGCTTCGATCAGGGGTACGGCATTGCCGAGGCGTGGGTCGCCGAGCTCGCGAGCAGGGCCGACATGGTGCCCGCTGTTACCGCGGACGGGGCGGCGGGCGCCGACATGGCAGTCGACGACGACGAGGAGTTTGACTTTATGGTGGATGCCATGGACTGGGAGGCTGTTTAGGAGGAGCATGGCGCGGCGCATTGGGTGTGGTTGGCGTGAGGACAGGGTCGTGACGGCTGGTCGGGCCTGGAGTTCCCTGGGCGCTACACAAGTACATAAAATAGATACCCCCCCTTGAGTATGGCTCGACCAAATAGACTTTAGGCGTCATTTCTATCACAACGGGAAGTGTTTCTCGAGTCGGGTCGAGAACGGGCTCAGCAACATGATGCATCTCACTGCTCTTGGTACCATGCCTCTCTGCATCCTGGGCGCATCGTGCCTTTCTGATAAATCCAATAGCCCCAAAACAGCGAGCCAAGAACTGGCGGGTCGACCGTTCGACATGGAATACCCAGATCACCGAAGCAGCACTGCCTGTTCCTCCTCTCAGCAGCTCAGTATCCAAGACTGGAATGCTTGTGGCTGCATGATGGCTTAAAAATGGAAAGCTCTTAACGGCTGTCCTCACGCCAGAGTGCCGGGCTTGACCTGTAACTTTCGAGGGCCCAAGTCTGCATGTACTGCTTGTCTTCTGACTTCCCATTGCCTTGACATCCTCGTTCTTCTCAAGCAGCCACGGCGGGCTCTCGGATCTGTCGCTTCCGAGGCGATGGCCTCAGCTGGCATGGCTGTCTGTGGAAACACGCTCTCGCGGTCGGTCACGTCCGGTGTTGACACGCTCCCTGCGGTGTCTGTGCATGATATTTCACAACGGCGTTCACTATATTGCGTCTAACATAGACTCCTTTGGTACCCCAGCTACAGCAGAACCCTCTTCAAAACAGCTCTCCCCACCACCCACGGGACACGCCCCAAGGCATCGCCTTGCGACTTGATCAGGCATACTTCAAAAAGCACATCGAAACTATGCACGACCGTTAGAAACTGAGGGCAGGAAAGTCTGCAGGGAGCCAGGGGGGGGATTGACTTACTGCAAGGGAGATAAAGTACTGGAAGGACCATCTTGAAGCACCTCGATATGCAGGCTCCCCTGAGTCGGATGGCCGGCTTGTTTATCTTGCCCTCCTTCTTCAACCTCTCCTCCTTCGCCATCTTCTTCGCGTGTATCTCATCCTCGTGTTTCTTGTCCCTCGCGGCCTTCTCTTCTTTCTCCTTCTTCTTCTCCTGCTTCTTCTTCGCGTCCGCCGCCTTCTTCTTGTCCGACGCGGCCCACTCGGCCTTCTTCCTGTTCATCTCCCTCTTGGCATCCTCTACGTCCTTGGCGGTCTTCGTCTTCTTGTCATTGTCCTTCTCGGCCTCCTTCTTCTTGGCCTTCTCGGCCTCCTTCTTCTTGGCCTTCTCGGCTTCCTTCTTCTTCGCGGCCTTGTCGGCCTCCTTCTTCTTCGCGGCCTTGTCGGCCTCCTTCTTCTTCTCGGCCTTCTCAGCCGCCTTCTTCTTCTCAGCTTTCTCGGCCTTCTCGGCCTTCTTCTTCTTCTCCTCCTTCTCTTCCTTCCGGTCCCTTTCGTCGTCGTCGTAGTCCTCCTCCTCCTCATACGCCTCGGACTTTACGACCTGCTTGTTCTTCCCGTACCTTGCAATTCGGCTGCCCTTTCTGTCGTATATGTAGATGTTTATGTCGTCGTCCAAGGGCTTCAGGAGCCCGTTGGCCTGCGCCATTGAGTTGGCATCTTCAGGCTCGGCGGCGGCCTCGAGATCGCTCGAGACGCGCGGCACGTCGTTGTCGGCGGGGCGCGGGCCTGGCAGCACGACGGCCGAGACGAGCGCGACGGCCGCGACGGCCGGGAAGAAGCACGACAAGCGCATTACGTTGCTTCGTGCGTGTGCGCAGTTCGTGTGTGCTTGGTTGTGTGTGCTTGGTTGTGTGTGCTTGGTTCGAGTGACGGGCTTGGAATGACTTGAAGAAGCGTGGGACGGTATCAAGAAAGCATGGATGACTTGAAGAAGGGTAAGAAGTGGTAGTCAGGAAATGTTGAAATGGATGGTATCTGGCGGGAGTTGTGATGCCATTTGATCGACCAGGAGCCTCCCTTTATAGGCGAGCGGTCTGAAGGTTTCTTTCCTTTCCAAATTCTATCTCTCGTGTCATCAAGGTGCAGTGCAGAATGGAAAGGATATATGGGCAGTAGAGTTTGGATTCTGGAGTGTCTGAGAAAGCCTGGGCACCCTTATGAGCGACGCCGCGGCGGAATAGGAACACGAACACGCAACGATCCGTGAGTTTTCGGTCCCTTGTTCGTGTCTAGGGTACATGCTCCCACCTTTTCGTCCAAGCCGCCTGACCTCTGCGAGTCCTCACGTTGGATCAACTTAGACGAACGGAAACCAGTGGGGCTTGGGAGGGCAATAACGACCTTGAATCTATGTCAGAGCTTCTTCCAACGGTACGACGGAACCTTGGACAGTCAGCGGTGTGAGGTTGCCAGCTGGACTTACGGCACTGTGTCTTGCTACCACCTTCACCCATACATGTATCCATGCACCGTAAGTGGACGATCATGAAGTATTTCTGGGGCAGGAACTTTTTCTTGATCCTCTTCTTCTTCTTGTCTTTCCGCAGTGTCAAGTCATCCCATTCATCGTCGGTGCCTGTCTTCTCAAAAACTTCCGTCTCAAGAAGTTCCGATGCCGGCTGGTCCACGTTGGGGCGCGAGTATAAAACCGGCAGGCCGGCCGGCACTGCATCAGGCTCGGCAGCCGGATGACGTTTGATGCTGCCCACGGCCTCGGGGGCGGCTTGTCCTCCGTTCTCGAGAGCCAAGACGCACACGGCTATGGAAAGCACGGGCAAAAGCTGAGTGATGCGCATGGTTGAACACAGGTTGTTTCTCGGGCTTGGTGGTGCTTGCGGTGTCGGGGGTAGATACTTGTGGAGAGACAACGACAGAGAGGGGGAGAGAGATAGGATCCAGACCGAGCCTCTTTTTATCTCTGTCGAATAGATGATCTTCCGATGAGTAGCAAGATCATATTGACGCCTTCGGATGGAAGTGCTTCTTCTCTGCTGCTGATGACAACCCATGGCATGACAGCCCATGGCGACGAGGCTGCTGGGCTTGGGAATCATGACGACGAGTGGTGGCATCGTCGCACCAACATGATGATCAGCGTGACCTCGGTTCTGAATCAAGGCTTGAAGTAATCTTTCAGAGGCGCAACCCAGATCAGGATGTGGCGCCAGAGGCGATTCCGGAATACCTTGGTAATTGATGAGCCATGAAGTTCCTCGAGATCGGTCGTCAAGATTGGCAGGGAAGGCTGGCTGGTAAGAACCTACAGGATGCACACTGTACACACTGGGAAGCCACATGCCCTTCGAAGCCATGTTTGGCAGCGCAAAAAGGGTCCACACAGTGTCGGCCCTCTAATGGTCACTCATCCCACCCTCCTTCCTTCAAGCTGACCTCGACACGCCAGTCATCCTGATGTCCTGGAGGGTGAAAGCCCGATCCCGTCGGCTCAACACATCATCAGCATCACCAATATTGAACAGAAGCCCAAGTCACATCCGACACGGACAGCGCGGCCCTCGATCATCCCCTCGACACAGCCAGTGGGTAAGAACCCCCTCCTCCCCTGACGTGGGATCTCCAGCTGGGCAAAAACGCCTCACCGCTGCTCTGCTCTGCTCGCACGCCCACCACCATGCTGCACCCCCTCTGCGAGGTCGTGCAATACCCGCAGCATGCTGCCCCCGGCACGACACCCCTCATCCTGATCCACGATGGCGGCGGCACCTCTTTCGCCTACCACTGCCTCGACCCGCTTCGCCGCCCTGTATACGCCATTGCCAACCCCCACTTCCACTCAGGCGCCCCCTGGCCTGGTGGCATCCGCGAGATGGCCGAGTTGTACGTCGCCATGGTGCGCCGCACTGTCGACTCGGACGACTTCCCCGACGACGGGGCCGCCCGCGCCAGGCTCTTTCTCGGCGGCTGGAGCTTCGGCGGCATGCTGGCGTTGGAGATGGCCCGGCTGCTCGAGGGTGACGACGACATTGAGGTTGCTGGCCTCCTCATGGTGGACTCCACCTTTCCTCTCTGGAAGGACTATGAGACAGCGAACAAGAAGTTCGGAGAGATGTTGGTCGATGACGAGGACCCTCCCAGGAAGAACGTCCTGCTGGCGAGGCAGGCCATGACGGCCGCCGTGGAGATGATTCAGAGCTGGGAGCTGCCGCAGTGGGCATGGCAGGACGACAAGCCGGCCGAGGTCGGCGTCAACGGCTACTCGGCCACGGTCCCCCGCGTGCCTGGGGGTCCGCCGCCGACGGTGCTCCTCAAAGCCACAGACGGCGTGCCGACAAAGGTTGCCGGTGAGGTGAGCCGGGTCGACCTGTTTCGGGACCAGCGAGATCTGGGCTGGGAGAAGTACCACCCTGGCTTCGTCGGCGAGGTTCTCGACGTCGAGGGCCATCATTATGACCTCTTTGAGTGGGCTCGGCTCACGGCCACGACGAACAAGATCAAGAAGGCGTGCGAGCTGCTTGAGAGGAAGCGCGCATAGAATGACGACCAATAGCGTATACCCGAGAGTAATAGATGGACTTTTTCAGATCAAGTTACGGGCAGCTGAAAACACACTCATCCTTTCGGCCGACATGAGAGGGTGTGGCAGCCATTGTCGAGGTTTGATATACTACGATGAATCTCTAGACTTCCAGCCTGCTCGCTCAATCCCTCAATTCCTGCTTCCAAACCACAATGTAAATGATGTCTCTGTCCCAGCAGAGTTCCTTCCGATGTCAGTCGGTTAACTCACCTCTTTCCATAGCCTGCTCTGCACTCCGGACTTACCTCTTTCCTTCCTACCACCTGTAACAGGGCCGAACAAGATCAATGCGTTGTTCCATCACCCTCTCATCTATTTCTCTTACCTTCACCCACTCAGACACCAATATGGCAAAACACAACCGACCACTCCTTACCACATAAACTTCTCTAGTGTGGACTTCAGAGCGTTGGATTCCCCGATGCCCGTTCTTTCTCGAATCTAATCATCGTCACACGCCACCGAGTACCCTTCAGCTTGAGTTGGACTTGAGCAAAACAGTCCTTTCCCAAGCTAGGTCCTTGCGGTCTATTCACAGTCAACAATTCTGCATATCTCAGCTCAGCCTTTTTTTCTACCTCGGATCATCTTGGGGCTAGTTTGTATCCCCTCAAATCATCTCTCTCTTTCCCGGATCATCTCCTGCCTCGTTTCACTCTTTCCTCAAATCACAACCTTTGACTTATCTTGATCCATATATCTGCCACCCCCCCTCCCCCACTCCAAAAGACGCGCTCATATACACTCGTCGTCACACTTCTCAACTTCTTTGTCTCTTATTCCCTCCTTCCGTCTAAAGGATCGGCACTCGGAGCACTTGCTACATCAGCAGTCGCCTCTGTTTCGCTAATCCGATTCACTAAAACCATTGACATCGTCCCCAAGAGCTTTCCCGTCACAGGCCACTCCCGCCCTACGTCTCACTTCAGTTCAACACAACGAAGGTTTCGTTGACGCTCCTCAGATACCAGTACAGTTCAAGTCCTGTGCATCATCACTGCGAGCTCCTCCAACAGAAAGCACCCGCCACTCCTGCCCAACATGAGCGGCGTGGTCACGGAAAGTGCAGACGAAGAGCTGGGTGGTGATAAGGCCGATTGCTCTAGCAGCCCTACGGACGTCCAAATACTCAGCGACATCAGCAAGCGCGTCCAAGTGAAGGAGAATGCCATTCACTTCGCACTCGATATACTCAAGCGCCAGAGACTCATGCTCGGGAAACTTGCCTCTACTGACATCAGCGACATAGCTGACTGGCCCGAGAGATCAGGTATGTCTTTGTCTACGCCTTACATGTATCATTGATGCCTAAACAGATGCAGTCAAACTCGAAAGATCCGCCTTGAAACGAGAATGGCTTGTAGGTCTCACCGGCGACACAGGGGCTGGCAAGAGCACAGCCACCAACGCGATGCTCGGATACGACATCTCCCCCACCAATAGTTCCGACGCTTGCACCGCTGCCCCTTGCATCTACTCTTACAACCATTCTGATGACCCCGAGAAGGTCTTTCACGCTATCATCACTTTCAAGAGTACAGAATCAATTGCGCATGACCTTGAGCTGTTACAGGAGGAGCTGTCAGATATCGCACACAGCACCCGGGAGCAGGGTGGGCTTGTGCAAGCAGAGACAGTCAGTCGACTGAACCAGGCCCAGAAACAAGTAAAGAGCGTGCAAAACTGGTCGGGTTTGACCGAGAATGAAATCAAGTGCGACGCGCCGAGCAAAATCATACTCGAAGCAAAAAAGAAGACGGTGCCTTTCCTGGACACCAAGAACCGCACCAAGAAACACAAGTTACAGATCAACGATTCGAATTTAAAACGGTTCCGCAAGACTTTAAAGCCATACATTGACAGCTCCGGTCGCAGCCGTGGCATCGTCCAACATTGGCCCTTGGTGCAACAGGTGGAGATACAACTCAAATCCGATGTCCTACGGCACGGGATCAAGCTCGTTGACCTTCCAGGAGTTGCTGACTCTCTCGAGTCGCGCGCAGCCGTGGCCAAGGACTTTTTCGAACGACTCGACAAGCTGATCGTTGTTGTGCACGCTGTTCGAGCTGCTGACAATAAAGCCGGCTCCGACGCTATGCTTATGCCCGCCACTTTATCCATGGATATGGGGCTGGACGGAAGGTTCGAACCAGACTCTCTTGCTGTCATTGTCACCAAGGTTGATGATATCAACCCGAAGAACGCCGAGAATGACTTTCCTGATGATGAAATCATCATGGCAGCAGTCAGCACCTTGGAGGCCGAAAATGAAGAGCTTGCCAATCTAGAGGAACTGATTTCTAGGCAGCGCGAAATAATCGATGACCATGACGAGGAAGAGAGCGAAACAGAAGTCAGGAGCCCGCTGAAGAAACGACCCCATCCCACTACAACCACCCTAGCAGCGGAGGAATCACGCCTAGCAGGGATGAGACACAAAAGAGATGTCAAAAAGAGAGGCGTAGAAAGCCTGACGTCGCAGCTCAAGCGCTCCTGCATACATGCTCGCAACCTCAAAGTCAAGCAGGCCGTGGGTCAGAACTTGAGTGACATAAAAGCTCAGGTTAATCCTACAGCAGTACCAGTGGTTGGCGAGTTCGAATCGAGCGTTCTGCCTATCAGCGCTTCCGCCTTTCTTGACATCGAGGCCGGCGACTCTGTCATTGGCTTCTCTGATGCCAACGACACAGGCATTCCCGCACTCAGAGACTGGTTGACGCGTGCGTACTTGCCCAAAAGGGACATGAGCGCTGACGACGATATCCTCGATGCTCGAGCCTTGTTGGACGCTCTTGATAGCTGGTCGTTGAATGAAAGTGCGGCGCGCCTGAGGATTTCGACCGAAGAGGGGAAAGAGATCAAACGTTTGCTCGACCAAAAGTTGAACCACTTGATACAGGTATACCCTATGCGTCGATTTCGGCTAGGGTTGTAGGCTGATAAAGATATCTAGACACTCAAAACCCCTCTGGCATGTTTCGCCAGAAGCCTGAGCAACTTGAAGCCTCTCCGAAACACTACAATAGCCTGTGCCGCACGCTCTGAGAAGGGCGACGAAGCTCCTACGCAGCGCGCTTGCGAGAGCGCGCTGCATGCCCAAGAACAGTGGGAAAATAAAAGGCCTTCGGTTTACGTTTCTCACCCAGAAAGAAACGAAAAGGTTTCGTATATGACCTACAAGGCATGCGTCAGGAGGGGCGGCCGCGAATGGACAACTTCAGCAAAGCCTCGAATGACATATAACTGGATGTCGTCCGTGTAAGTCAGCTAAATCTCCGTGACCCTGGCGGGAACGGCTTTTAACTCCAGTTAGCTCACTCAACTTTTGGCGTGCACATGCGAGATTCTGGCAAGAAGCCTTCTTCCAGAGACTACCAAAGATAATCAACGATGCCGAGAGTCGCAATACGAGGATTTTCAACCAGTATATCACTGATCTCGTCACCGACGAGGAAATTCCAGCAGTATTTCGCGACCTCCTCCGGCGTCGTGTCCCCTCGCTGCATACCCAGAGAGACGTCTTTCTCCAAGAAGCCCGAAGCACTGGCAACGACTTTCGTAACGATGCCCTGCGTCTTAAGCCTCGCGTCTCTGACATCTTCACTAATTACATGGCTCCAGTCTTTGCGAAGGCTTTCTCAATCACAGGTAGGTTTTCTCGTACAGTGCTGACATTGCCCTGGTGCAATCGCTAACACAGCGCTGCAGGTGTGGGAGCTTTCGCTGAGCAAAGAAAGGTCGTAAAAGAACAATTCAAGCGCAAACTACCTGAGATGCTCCAGGACGCTCGGAACTTTATCGAGGAAGAGCTCGTTTCAAGCAAGACGGAGCGTGTGAACAAGCTGCGAGGGTCAATTTTTACGCCCAACAGCAAGCCCGGGACTCGTCTCAATGAGCTGGACAAGATCTTCAAGAACCTGCTACGGGATGCGCGTGCCCCCGCGAGCAAGATCGCAGGTAGATCTCAAGGCACGCAATCGGAGGCTGTCACGGCGGCCAAAGAAACGATCCGCGCCGCACTCGACGAATGGCATGAATACTGGCAGCCCATCGAACAAGCGCTACCAAAGCGGCCGACAAGTACGATTTCTGACGATAGCGAGAACGAGGAGGAGGAGGAGGAGCTCAAAACTCCGGACAAGAAGAAGATCGCAGGCGGCAAAGCGAAACCGAAGGCAAAGCCAAAGGCTAATAGAGCGCCACCGAAGCCCAAGGCCACGCCGAGGCCCAGGGGTTCTTCCAAGACCAACGTCAAGGCTCTGCCGCAATCGAAAATAGTCAAGGCCAAGGCTCAGCCTCGCAGCATGTCAGTGGTCAAGACGGAAGAAGATGACGAGATGCATACTGGTGGAACCATGGCTGCTGACGATGCGCCACACACTGGAGGCCCACCAGCTAGCAGGCAACAGATAGGGGCTATGATGGCGGCTGTCACAGCGGAGACTGAATCATTGCCCGGGGATAGGCAGGGCAATTCCGCCAAATAGGCAAGGGGTTGCAGGCAGACCACCAGGCATCATGGATGGTGTCACGGCGTTTGGCTTGTCATTTGCACTTTCGTATTTTTGCTCTTGGTGGGGGCGTGAGATTGGGCTGTTGGGTGCGTTTGGACTGGCCATTGGAAAAGGAGAACGTACACACACACACATTATCACAGGATAGCTTCATAGGATTCTCCAAGTTATCTCGCCACGACACTCGCCAGAAGCCGTAACTTCCCTAGCGTGATAATGGTCCGTGAATCACTCAAGATGAATCATCACAACCGTTGACAGCGTCGGAAGCCCGTAAGGATCGGGCAGCAGCAGCAAGTACCAGGAAACAGACGCCTTCCGATACGCGAATGCAGAACATAGCCCAACGCCCAGGATCGCGCTCCGGCAGTCGGCAAAGGCAGGCCGAAAAGGTTCAGTACTGCAAAGGCACCCCGACGGCCCAGTAACATTAATTTCCCATTCATCATCTTTCTGTCCCCGAGGTCAAAGTTGGGCGTCAGCGGTCCTGGCCTCCTTTGCTGCCCAACATCGACCACCACGATGCGGGGAAACGTCATGGAGCAGAGAGCGCGAGACGGCCAAGGCTCTGCTGTTCACGCATTGGTGCTCAACTCATGTCCAGTTGCAGAGTCACAGAGGAAGATCTCAGCGGAATAAATCAGCATGTCTATTGACATTACGTAGCCAGAGCACGCGCACTGCAGCTCCAACCTTGGCCTTGTGGCCTCGTGACGAAAGAAGAATCCTCGCCTTCGCAACCTCGCTTCTCAGCATGGTCAAGTCTCGTCTCATCAACCTTGAAACGAGTGTGGTATCCCCCTGTACTCAACTCCGGTAGGTGAATGGAGAGGGCAAAAGAAAACACGAAGAAAACAATAGAAAAGCAAGTGCGTTCGCCATTCGTGGCCCCCTCCCAATATGCAATTGTTGTGAATGTGTGTGTGTGTGTATCGTGTCGTAGATCATCTCCCTCATGGCTCGCCTCAACGTACATGAAAGCAAGGGTTCCATGACTGCTTGTCAAAGTCAAAGGGCATCGCCAGCAAGGTTGCCCCGTCTCGGCCCCTCCGTCAGGCTCTGGCACCACATTGCGACCCAACGACCGGGCGCACGACGTGGCAGCAGCGCAGAGTGCCATTGCCTGTGGACGATCAACGTTGCGGCGGCCATACTGACGTCCAGTGCCGCACGCTGCGTCCAGTGAGCCGATGCAACGCAACCTTGTGAACACGATGCCCATCATGTATCCCTTCTCACTCCCCCCAAAATGCACTCCATCGCGCCCCATGTATGGATATCCGAAACAAAAACGCAGAAAACTATCGAATAAGACATGGCGGTCGTCGTTGCTGTACGGACCCGCGCCCAGGAGTGGCGCCCTTACAGAATTGCACAACCAAACTAGAAATGAATAAATGAGAATGACAGTTTGACACATGGCGCAAAGCCGCCCCGTGAAAGCAAATTGCTACGCAAGGCGCCGGATGGTACCTCAGGCATATGCCTCCTCGTGGTAGCCTCGGTGATGGGGGATGTTGCTGTATTGCACGTCGTCGGGCGTGTAGCTCTTGGCAGTTTTGACCTTCCCGAAGTAGGGGCCTCCGCCACTGCTGGAGTAGGCGCCTTCGCGGGAAGGCATTTGAGGTCGGACTTCGGCAACGCGCACGTGTGCAGAAGGGTAGTAAGATCCCTTTGATTTCCTGGGAGGGGATTCATCGCGGTAGGCGTAGACCGGCTCCCCATGCATCGGGACTGTCCGCCCGTTGTTGACGGCATATCGAGCCGTCGTGGCGCGGGTCAGGGGAGGTGGCGGGGGATAGTCTTGCGGCAGCGGTTCCGGAGAGTGCGTCTTGTGGCGACGTTCGCGTCGGCGAGCTTCCCTGTAGCGGCGCTCGGCATCCTCGTCATCAGAGTCGCTTTCGCTGACCTGCGGCTGGAGGCGATTCCGGCTACGGCCACGGGGATCCGCGCTCGCAGGAGACCGCATGTCGTGATCGCCGGCATAGTGGTATGTCTGTGACCTTGAAATTGTAGGTTGTGGCGATGGTCGGTCGTAATCTGCCTCCCTCATCGTGTTGGCCCTAGGGAGCTGCGTCTTACGCGGCGGGGATTCAGGAACCATCGGAGGGGTGGTACCAGCGTTCAAGAAAGACGGGGGCACACGGGCGGAAGACAGATCAACCGCAATCGGGCTTGAGGCGGGGGCATCCTTGGGTCCAGATGAGGATTTCTTGTGACTGGACTTCTCTCGGACTTTGGGGGCTTCAGATGAGCGTCTAGGAGATGGTTTAGCAGCTGAGCGACGGGGGGCGTCATCCTCCTCCACCGAGATTGGATCATTAGGAGGAGGTTGAAACTGGGATTCCTGGGCCGATGGAGGTGTCGGGACCGCAGCTGGAGGTGCGTACCGGTAGGGCTCTTGGTACGTCTGGGACCGGCTCAATTGCGGCTGAGCTTTCTGTCGCGCGGAAGTCATGTAACGGACAGCGTCCATCATTGCAATCTGGGTCTTGTCCATTTGTTGCGGCTCAGCTCCGTGAGGAGAGAGGCGCTCGCGTTCGCGCTTCTCCTTGTCATCGTGCTTCTTGGAAGAAGAACTTGACTTCTTCCTGTCGACCTTGGCAGGTGAGCGGTAGTCCTCGTCGTCGTATTGTTCCACATAGGCCGACTTGTGTTTGCTGCGCTTGTCCTCCGTCTCTCGTCTCCGCTCTTTCTCCTGCAGCTTCTCTAGTCGTTTCCTCTCGGCACGGCGAGCTTCTTTCTCCGCCGCCTTTTCCTTCTCCGCAGCCTTGTCAGCCTGTTTCACAAGCCGTTCCTTCTCTTCTTGGTCTTCTTTCCTGCGTCGACGCTCGCGATCACGCTCTCGCTCATCGTCTCGCTTCGAAGGCTTGTCGTCGTAGGAAGCAGCACGTCGAGCGCTCCGCGCAGCTTCTTCAAAACGGGCAGAACTGTGAATTTCGTCCTCGTAGGAGCGAGACGGCGGATAATTTGAGTACATTTTGGAGCCGGTTGTGCTAGGAGCGCGCGTAGATGTCTTCGTCTTGTAGGAGTCGGGTCGGGGCTCTGCAGTGCGGACTTCATAGTAGCGAGGAGGTGTACGAGCGGCCGATGTGTTGGCTTCGACATTCCGTCTCTTCTGCTGGAGTTCCATCAATTTGATCTGATCGTCGTATTTGGAGCGTTCTTCTTCGCTGCCCAATAACTCATAAGCTTGTTGAACCCTCTGGAACTCATCTTGCTTGGCCGCCTTCAAAGCCGGGTCTTGGACCTTGTCAGGATGACACTTGAGTACAAGCTTGCGATACGCAGTTCGAATCTCGGACAACTGCGCATCCTTGGAGACACCCAAGACCTTGTAAGGACAAGGTTGTAATGAGGTCATGTTGGCAGGCGATTGATCTGAGGAGTCGAAACTGGGGGATAATGGGAATCCGTGTGACAAGAATCGGCGGGCGGAAGGATGCCAGGGATGTAAGTATTCGTCGCTCGTGGTTCCAAAAACGCGATGTCAGCGAGGAGCTGTTATTGCATCGATGCGGCGGCGAGCAATGTTGGGGTGAGGGTGAGGCGGTGCAAGGCGAGCCTCTCTTGGGGGTTCGGGAATTCGAGGGATGGTCGCCTGTGAACGAGGCGGGCTTGGTGGTCGGAGGGACGATTGGCACCTGATGCACCCAGGTGTGGAAGTGCAGCAACAGAAAAGAGAGAGAGAAAAGGAGTACAACGAGAGGAGAATGGGGTTAGGAAACGAGGACAACGACGTCAAGGTGATCTGTCGTGGCCCCTAGCTCTGGCAGTCCCAGGTCAAGGCGGTCCAGTGTTGGTTGATGATTGATGATTGAGGGTTGGAAGGTTGGGTTGAACAGGAGACGGGCCGGACGGGGGGACTCTAGTTGGAAACCTGATGAGGTCAGAGTCAGGATGGGCCAGTCCTTGAAGGCTGCTGGGGTCTGATTGGGGGGCGGAGGCAAAAATTGCGGGCTGGGTGTGGTTCTGGGTGGCTCGAAAAGGAGGGGAAGGCGAAGGGGGGGGTGTAGCCACAAGGGGGCCTACGGACCAGACAGAGAGCACCAGACGGGTCTGTGTGCAGTCCAGTGGCCGGACGTGAGACAGGCGACGTTCTTGGCCGAACTAGCACTGGAAGGAGTGCTGTCTTGCTAGTGATATGTTGCGCGAAATAATAGGGTGACGGGCGGCAGCGGTCACACCCGCGTCTAGGGTCCGTCGCGTGAAGGTAAAATGTGCTGTAGAAGTACGACGGGATCTGCGTCTCGCGTTCGGCTTCTAGAGGAATGCACAAGAGCTCAAGTTGCTTGGAAAGCGTGAGAGCAAATATCCGGTGCTGACCAACGGCTGAGGTCGAGGTACGAGGGAAGGGGGGGGGGGGGGGGGGGGGCAAGGCCCGTGGAAGGCGCTTGTCGTTCCTGGAAGTGGCACAGCGAACGAATGGCTGACAGTGCAGAGGCGCCTGGGGCTGTGGTGGTGACGAGTGCTGAATGAAGCTGAGGAATCGAAGTGCAAACAACCGCCTCGTCGGAAGAACTGGCGGTGCTGCGCCTCGTAGCTGGATCGGCCGGTCCGGATTTCAGGCGGCCAGGGACAGAAGGGGCGAAAAGTGTGTGAAGGCCGACGGCTGGGGCGGACGAAGCAGAGAAAAGACTGAAGAGGAAAATTCTCAATGAAAGAGGCGAACAGAAACTGCGACGAATAGGGCAGTTTGGTAAGGTCGGGCGACGCTGGCGTTGGCGAGGGACTGGAATGGAATGGCTCTGAAGGCGAATGAACGGGTTGCAGTGGTCGGAAACAACTGGCAGTCGAGGTACAAAGCAGGTACAGAGGTACATCTGCCGTCTGCTGTGTGCGGTGGCGACAAGATGTACCTGCGGGAGGATCGATTTCGGGCGAGTGAGCGATCAATGGGTAGTCGTCAAACAGTGTGGGATGTATTGGTTGTGTGATAGGCAATTGCCGGCCACGCGATGGATTGGTATGTCTGTTGAAAGAGACGCAAAAGGGCAGACAGACAATGTCAGAGTTGGGCGATATACGATCTATGTTGACGAGGGCTTGTTTGGAACTGCAACGGCACGAAGACTGCGCCAGCAGAGCGTTGCTATGGGCGTCGAGGCAGTATTGATGCAAGAGTCCCCTCCTACTCCTCTCTCAGTCGTGCAAATGGCCAAATGAGGTATCGTTTGAGCCAGAACGACGGGGGGTCGAGGTATGAATCTGGCGGTGAGGGTTGCTTGGTGGAGAGTCTTGGGTCTGTTGCTGCGGATGCGTCGCTTCGGTTTGATGTTCGTTTGCAAGGCAGCCCTGCAAATGATATCACCCAGGTGGTTCGGGTCATGAGCAGGTGACCCGGCTCGACAGGAGACTTGGATTTCTACACCTAGAACAGGCTGGCTTGCACAGGCGTGCGGGCAGCTCAATGTCCAGATCGGGTGGCCTGGGACCATGAGCCATATGGACTAAGCCTTGATCAGGAATAGAGAGGAGAACCGGGCTGGGATGGACGCTGGACACGATAGTCGGCCAACCGTACTGTACAATTGAGTCCAGGATCGCTCGGTGCTGGCTGGTCTGCTGCGGGCCTGACCAACGGCGACCTGCTTGCTGTGCTGTGCAGTGGATTTCGGGGCTGCTAGCTGCAGGGCCCAGAGCGATGGTCTCGCGATGTGTGCGTTGTCGGGCAAATAGCATCAGCTGGTGGTGTCATTGGCGTCGTCTGGTTTCTGTTCCCTGCTCTGTCTGTCTGTCTGTCTGTCTGTCTGTCTGTCTGTCTGTGCCTTGACGCTTCCTTCCGTCCCATCGTCCGCTCAGGGACCTTCTACAGTTGCCCTTGGGTACATGTTGTGGTCGTACCTTCCCTCCCCTACCTTACCTTTGCATTCATCCGTCCTCCCTCCTTCCTTCCACTCCTTCCACTACGTGCCTGGTCACCTTGGCACCTACCTCTCTGGGTACCTATCAATCGACGGGCCTACCTCAGCCCCCAATATGCCGTGCCCCATGTCTTGTCAACGTGCCTGCTCGTGTAATCCCCATCGATGTTGCCCTTCCAGCGCATCCTGAATTCCTGGGCAACCTCGAGCTACCTGGGTACCTTATTACCATAGAAAGGTACCTTGGGTACCTTCCTAGATATGGACGGGGTCAGCTCCACCATCCATTCGACAGCCCCCCTTTCACTCCACCACGCCTCACGAGACAATGGCTCTTCGATCTTCCATCTCGCCATCCTCATCCACCAAGACCCAGATTCAGACCGCCATCCTGAGTCCTGGCATCAGCTCACGCCTGCTGCCCCATTTTCTCCATCACATCGTTGCCGTGACCTCCACCTTTCACTCGTCGCCCTCGCTGCAGCATCTACCCTTTCGGCACCATCGTCTTGTGCCTGACTGGTCGATCGACTGTCGTCTCATGCAGGTGGGCCAGTCGACACCGCCTGCGCACCCCACGGCCGGCTTCCAGTTGGCTCGTCACCCGCATTGGCCTACTGTCGTGGCCTTTGCCCTCCGGATCCCCCCCTTTGGAATCCCACGCACTCGGCCATTCTATCACCTTCCACAACCCACGATGCCACAGCAAATGAGCAGGCCACTGGGCTTTCGAGCTGCAAGACTCTGGAGACACCCCCAAAGGACCCATGTGCGCTTTCTTCCCACGGCTTGCACCACTCGCACGTCCTCATCTACTCATGAGCTTGTCACATCCATCCACCATGACGAAGTCTGTGGTCGCCTGCTCACGTCTCTTATCCCATGATACTTTTATGACGAGCCCTCTCAAACAGTTAGTATGCATGTCTCAGGATCCCATCACAAAAGGTCACCGGTCGACGGCACCCTCAAACGAGCAGAGAAGCAGGTACTATGTACGCCATCTCGTCGATGGGCTTGGTTTCCATCTCAGTTTGGTGGACGCCCCACGCCCGGCCGTGGATGTTGTTGTGCCCACGTGAATCCCATCCGCGCCGTAGTTCAAGAGGGTGCCTCGTCATCGCTTGTGATTGGTGCCTGCGGGCTTGTCAGTCCAGACGGCCGTCGCGGGAGGGAGGGGCAGCGGCCGGGACGATTCGATTCACACCAGGCCGATCCCGTCCAATCACCTTGCCATCTCGTCCTGGCCAGTGAGACGTCCGTCTCGACCAGGGCCCTTCGATCTCGAAGCGAGTGCATCGATGGTCAACAGGAGAGAGTCGGCATCGGGCTGCTGCTCAAGGCTGCTCAAGGCTGGACAATGACCTGTTGGAGGAGGCCTAGCGGGGTGCTGGCATCAACACAATACAAGGCTGTGTCTCTCATAGACCTAGCTCACTAGAGAGTCGCCTGGATGACGAGCGAGCGGTCTGGCCAGCAACGGCTTCCAGGCCCACTGTCACCAGCACTCGTTCAGTGGGTGCCCACCAGTGAGTTTTGACCCGCCGAGCATGATCGACCACTCCACAGCGGCACCGCTGGTGATCACCTGCTGGTGCCACTGGTGCAGAACGGCGCCGTATTCGTGCGGGATTCCAGCGTTGTCTTACCACATCCTCTCACTGCCTCCTCACAAAAGAGTAAGTGGGCGCCAACATCGAAAGACCTCAAAGTGCCACAAAGTGCTCGACATGCTTCTGAGGTGGGGGCGGGGCAGACGCGACGATCGGAGGTGCAGCTCCTCAATCATCAGACGAGAAGATCTGTATCGGGGACGCAGCTTCATCCATCAAGACGAGTCAGCGCGAGACGCGAGCACGCCGGCTGATGCTCTGTACCCCTGGGTATACCGTACAAGAGCTCCGCTTTCTTGTCGGATAAAGAGACTCGTAACCTAGGACGCAGCTTGCCGCCATTGACGCCGCTACATTCTGCCACTCAAGCAGAGGTAAACCTACCCTTGCAACGGCGCGGGACCAGGCTTCAGTTGCGAATCATGGATGCATCACGCCTGGTCCTGAATAGATTGATTTGGGGGATACATCGCTGCCCCCCGCGCCCTTTGGATATCGGCTGCTTCTTCACTGCTCTGGGCGCCAGAATCTAGACTGACCTCGCTTCCCCTCCTGCGTCTGATTGGCATTCAGGCAATCCCAATCCGCCATACTTGTGGTTGGCATCGCAATTTTAGTCCTTGAATCTCTTCCTGTGTCATGGGTGATACACTCTACCGAATGTTAAAGCCCAGCCTGTTCAGCCTCGATCGCTCCTTCGCCACCAAGCTCGCCCGAGCCCTGCCCACTTGACCCCGCCATTCAACGCCATCATCGCAACCCCGCGATCAGGGGTTTAATGGCGCAGCCAGAGCACCTGCATCGTCAGCACCTGCTGCTCCATTGGACGCAGGTCATCGAGCAAGCGCCCGGTGCTCCCTTCCCAGGGTGCTTGTCAACTGAGCCTC